GGTCAGAGAATCTCTTGGGAGAAACATCAGCTGAACACTTGCCATACATTTGACTCAAGAACAGTAGTTCTCAAACTTTCTAAGGCATCAGAGCCACCTGGAGGTCTTATTAAAAATGCCCTGACTCCAGAATTTCCAATTCAATAGATCTGAGACAGGCCCGAGAATGTGCACATCTAACAAGTTCCCAGTTGACACCGATGCTGCTGGTCCAGAGACCACAATTTGAGAACCACTGGCCTTGAAGAAATGGGAACATATCCCAAGTCTGGGGGAATCTCAGAATAGAACGGGACATTATGAACTCTTGGAAATGTATAGGGGAATTTCATTTGGTGCCTCCTGTTGTCACAAAAGAAATAATATTATTAAAAAGTGTTAGTATTAGATCTTGTTGAACTGCCAGATATGAGGAGTACTCAGATCCATTTTCTGGGTGGGAGAAGAGATTCCCGCACCTGCAGCATGGTGGGGAGAATCCACTGGTAGCCGCTGAGAGAGAAGAGGTGGTTGAAGTGGACAGCAGTGTTGATGACGGTGGCGGCGTACTGCCTGAGCAGGGCACTGTCTTCTGGGTGCAGGATCAGAGCCCCATTAAACACGTTGAGGAAAAGCATGATTTCGTCTCCCCATGGAAACTCGCTTGGCATGCCCAGGAACATCTCCTCCAGGAGCTGGATCCATAAGCTTTTCTGAAGAGTGTCGAGGCCAAACAGTTCCTTCCCAGCTGTGAGAACACGGAACAGCAGAGACGGAATTAGCCCCACACCAATCCTGTCAGTGTGAGAGGAGAACAAACTTGAGGATGCTGCCGTTCTCCATTCGTTCCAGCTCCCGGGTGTGAAGATCCGTTGCTGAAATGCTTTCCAGCACAATACTACTGGCACCGGTACAACACTTCCCAGTTCTCAAAGGACTGGCATCATCACCTCTTTGATTTAATTCTGTGGGCAAGAAGGGTGGGCATTTGCAGCATTTTGCTGCTAAATAAGCTGCAGCTTTAAAAAAAAATAAGTTATTTCAGCTAGAAAATGGCAGAGCTCAGACTAGTGCTTGGCTTTCTAATTACTGGTCAGACTACAGGTCTTTTCGCTATTGCTGTGTAGCTTCTGGGCGAGGATGTCGAGGCACAGGATGCTGCTTTAAGTAAATTGTCTCAAGTTCTTAATAACTGAATAACAGTGAGGTTTCAAAGTGGGTCTCTTTCTGTTTCTCTGTCTCTCTCTCCCTCAATTCAGGTATAATTTAGAGTAAAATGCACAGATATTAAACGTAGAATTCAATGGGTTATGACAAAAATATACACTCATGTAACTAAGAAAGTTCCCTCATACCCGTTACCAGAAAATACACTCTCTCCCATCCCAGAGGCAGCCACTGTTGCGGTTTCTCTCACCCTAAATTAGATTTGCTTCTTTTTGAACATCATATAAATACCTGGTCTTTGCTTAGTGAAGTACTCCCTTCCCTAACAATACCGTCACCTGCCTATGATTCGCTTAGTGCAGTGGTCTCAAAGCTTGGTGCTGGGAATAGCAGCATCAGCATCACCTGAGAACTTGTTAGAAATGCAAGTTCTTGGGCCCCATCCTGAATCTGTATTATAACAAGACCTCCAGGCAATTCTAATGCACAGTCAAGTTTGAGAACCACTGGCTTCCAGAACTGTCTGCTAAGATGCTCTCCAGTTGAGAACAAAACAAGGGCAGTGTTAGAAAAAGCCCAAGAGAGAAAATGCTTCTGTCTTGCTTGATACCTTGAGGATCACTGAAGAGTGAAAACTCAGCATCGATAGCACTTCGAGGGAAGGAGGGCAGTCGCAGCAGGTCCTCCTGAAGCATGGAGACGTGGGACTGTTTGTGGGCAGTGGGGATCTTCTGGGTGAGGGAGATGAGAAACAACACCCGCCCTACTTCCTCCAGTTTCCGGGTGAACACCTAGCGGAAAACAAAAGCAGGAACAGACAAAAACAGAATTGGAAACCCCAAAATTACACGGTGAAGAAATTGAAGTAAAATCTTTAATGGCAAACCAGGCTGATAAAAGAGGGAACAGTGAAATAAGGGAGAATTTTTTTTTTCCTTTACCACATAGAAAGAGCAAACAATACTTAATTGACTCTCACTTCCTGCTTCTGTCTCCTCTGCAGAAGGAAGTATTCCTTACGCAGTTCGAAGGCTGGGGGAGCACAAAGCAGGCATTGTCAAGAATAGCTCGATATTAAACAGGGCCCATTTGTTTGGATGCTATAATATGGAAGACCTTCTCTAACAGGGAGCAGTCAGTTCCAATTGCTTCTACCATTTCTACTGATGCCTCAAGCTGTTTCCTGGCAGTTCTGGGTTTATTTCTTAAAAAGACCGAAATGGGATCCAGGAAAAATCCTATTTTGGGACAAAAGTTGATGGGCCCTAGATTGGTGCCCTTTTAGTCCTGAGTTTAGACGGCATACACATGGGCTTTTGGTCCCTTCCGTTAGTGCCTCTTTTCATGATGATCAATGGGAAGAGGGATATGATTAAGATGTTCATATGCAATGAGCAGCTGATGAGGAAATTTCCCAGCCAGACCCACAGATCTCCATGTTATTATCTCCCTGAGGAGCTCAGAAGGAAGACTTGGAGTGTACATACAGCAAGAGCCCCATTTTAGGGCATTCTTTTAAAACATGTTCTTAAACATGATAGATACACACACACACACACATACACTAATGAAGTGCCATGACTGATTATAGTTTTAATTATCTTGCTGCCAAAATCAGAGGCTGGAATAATTTGGGGGGAATTGTTTTAGAAATTGTTTATATTTAAAATTTCACAGTTTTTCCTGACATCTCACACCTTGCAACGCATTCAGTTATTTTCTTTCTTTTAAATAAAATTTAGGTAGTTACGGGTAGCTATATTTTTAACTACTTAAGTGGTCTAAGTCTATGCTATTCTCATTCATTTCATGAAGATATTTTTAGATAGTTTGATGCCAAATTATCATCCTTGATATGTCAGAAACATTGAAATGATCAAGTATCCTGAAATTCTTGATTAGAGATTTTATTTAAAAATGAGAGTAATGCATATAGACAATACTAAAATTGTAACACTTTTAGAACTGTGTACTAAAGCTATATTTTGCACGTAGAATAGTGACTTTTCTTAAGCTCAAAATCTGATTTGAGAGTAGATATATGAACATTTTTCTGCTCTTCAGCCTTAAAC